GTGAGCTTGCTGCGAAGTGGTAATACCTCCAGGAGTTGTTGAAGAACGATCGAACCCAACGACGAAATCTCATGCCCCTGAGCTCCCATGCAAAAAGTGTCTTTTTCGCCTGACAGCGGACGAGCCATCAGTGGCGGTCCTTGCCCCTCAACGACTTCAAAGCGCGGAGGGCATGGTGGAAAATTGGTTGAAGCGGCTCTCCACGAGGGAGCCTCATCGGCTGACCGATCTACTCCGGCCGCCGGCATGTCCAACTCGCCATCCAACGGGGGACCCCGCTCACGCCCAGGCACCTCGCTCTGGTCCCATGAGCTGCCCTCATAGCCATCATAGTTTCACCCAATGCTAGCTCCCGCCTACAGGAGCTCACTTCGAAGCCGTCTCCTCCTTCTGCCGACCTTTGTCCTTGCCACTTGACTTCCCCTTGCCCTTTGGCTTGGAATCCTCCTTGCCCTTGCTGGAGTTCTTTCCCTTCGGGCGCCCATCTGGAAGTGCGGCCAACTGCCGGGTCTTCGACTCTTCGTAGGCAGCACGTTGAGCGGTCACCATCTCCTCTCTCCCTGCCATGGCCAGGGAGTCGGTCGGTGCAACTTCTAAGCGCTGCGCGACGCTCCAATGCGCCCCTAGCAGCACAGACTCTATTGCCTTCATTCGTTGGAGAAGTGTGTCGCATGCTCGAGCCGGGCGCCCCCTCAATAGATGATCTATCGAGAGAGCCAGCGTCAACAACTCTCGCAGAACCGGCCCACTGGCCTTGCGGGCCAACTGTTGACGATGGTACATCAATGCAATCGGCTTCAACTCTCCCTTCGTGTTCTCGGCGCCGATCTCCTGCAACAAGCTTCCCTTCATAGAGGCCAGAGCCTGTGCGCTCAAGGCCCCCGGACACAGGTCTGCAACCCGCTGAACCCGGTTCTCCCCTTCGAACAACGCCGTCTCCATCTCCTCCAGGCCGCTGGGAGAGTCGTCGGTCGAGCTGCTCCGGGAGTTGGACGATGATTTGTCCTTGGATTTCTTTTTCACTGCTTTCTTTGCGAGGCGCATCACACGCCGCCGAACCCTCTCGCAAGGGTCCAGTCCCGTGCCACTGAAGAGGGCTTCTGGGGTGTTCGTTGCCGCTCCCCGGGGCCTCTTCCCGTTGAGCTGTACTGAACGACTGCTCGAGCTCGATGTCGATGTGGCCTTCTTCACCTTCTCCTCCTTTGAGGTCCTGCCTTTCTCTGCAGCTCGAGACGGGCTCCTCGACCGATGCTTCTTTTTCATTTTGTCCTTCTTGCTCTTCTTGGACCTCTTCCCCCGGCTGTGGCTTTTCTCCTTCTTCTTTTCTTTTTCTCTTTTTTCTCCTTTGTCTGACCGCCCGGGCACCGCCGGACGATCTAGATCTTCTCCTCGAGCCCTCAAAGCCGCTAGCTCGTCCTCTGCTGGTTCGACTTTCTCCAAGTTTCTTGTCCAGCCTTCTTCGCCTTCCTCCCTCACAAGCTTGCGGATCTTCTTCACATGGATGAGGTCCTCCGATGTCCGATCCCCAGTGCAAGCCTCCTCGCACCGGCGCACACGCCGCTCCATGTCGGGGTGACCGGAGTGATGACGTAGAAGGCTCTCCGAGGTTGTTCCTGTCAACTGCAGAGTGTAGTGGATTCCCGTGTCTTGAACGTCCACCCCACGGGTCCTCCCTGCGACCTGGCAGGCCGCACCGAAGTATGAGGCCTCTGGACACACCACCCTGGTCCCCACTGTCAACTCCTCGACTCCTAGACTCCTAGCCGATTCAGCTGAGCAATCTCTCCCCTGCGCCACAGCTCCCGGTCCCCAGGAGCTGGATCGACTGGTCCTCCATGGGCTGGTCGACGCAATGCACCTCTCCTCTTTGGCGCCGCTCTCATCGCTCTCACTTTTGCCTTGGCCTTGGCCTTCGGCGGCATTGCTTCTAATAGCGGCGGTGAGGCCAAAAGCGGCCTTGCTCACGATGTTTGACTCCCTTCGTTCCCCGTCTGCGGGGTTCTGCCTCCCTTCTCCTCGGCGATCTTGTCCTTGGTCTCCTCCACTCACCTCGCTCCCGAGATGATGAACCAGCCTCGTAATGAGGCGGGGGGTGATCTGGCTCAGATGGGTACCTAGGAGCGGGCGGTGGTGGTGGCAATGGTGGCTTGAAATGTTTGGCGACCGTTCCCCAAACAGCCGGCCGTAGTCCGTATCGTGCAGGATCTCGCTCAAGATCCTGTGGGGTGGGGTCGGAACCCCTGGCAAGTGAGTTCTTTGCAAGGATGGGCCTCGCTTCCTGCTCAACTGCTACTGCTTTGGGCTCGTCCTCCTTTTTCTTTTTCTTCTCTCTGCGAGGCTTCTTGCCTTCCTTCTTTGTACCTGTAGTCGACCTGTGCTTCCTTCTTCTCTTGGGCTTCTCTTCAGGATGCTCCTTCTTGTCCTTCTCAAGCACACCTGGAGCAGGGACTGTCACCAAGGGCTCCTTCTCCACCTGCTGATTGGCCTGGTCCTCCTTCTTCACTTCAATCGGCTTCTCGTTCTCCTCTTTCTCGCAACTCTTAGGGGCCAAAGGCTCCCCGTCAACTGCCTCCTTCGACTCACCTGTAGGCCCACTCTCACGAAGCTCCCTGGCCGACACAGGAGCTGCCTCCTCCGCAAGATCGGTGAGCGCTCCCGCACAGTTGCGGAGAACCGAGACAACCGAGTTCTCCTGCTGTCTCAGGAGGAGATTGCCCTCGATCAGCTCCTTGATCCGGCGCAGTGTCCTGCACACCTGACAAGTCGGTGCCCCGTCGAAGAGGTGACAGGCACTGCACCGCATGAACCTCCTGTAAGCCGAAAAGCTAAGGGACCAGAAAACGTGTCAAGGTTCTTAACCCACGGGGGCGTAGGTACATATGGTACCCAAAAAACTAAGGTCCAAAAGGCCGCCAAAAATAGACACAAAATATTGCAAATACCAGCAAAAGTCAGGTGAACATAGGTTTATTTTTTTGGGGGGGTGGGGGGTACCATATAAATCTCCTTGTGCGTGTGCGCATACATATACATATACACGCATGTATAAGTGTATATGTATATATGCATAAACCTTATATAACCATAAATGCATGTGTATACATTATACATACAGATATGTTATACAATGGACTCTTGACATTTATATATATATATAGATACATTTGACGACCAGGTCACGTGCCTGGAAATTTCATGCAAGACACTGCTCGTCAGTTGTTCCAAAATCAAAGCCCCGAACAAAGACTCTGCACCGGCTGGACTTCCTTGGCCAAACAGGAGCGCGTTGCGATGGACCAAACGCAGCATGTTGGTGCACAACAGTCTATTGCGGTCGTCGATGGTCGATTGTTTGAGACGATTCAATCGCGACGTAGGGTGGTTCTCTGACCAAGCCCAGCTGCGGATCCTCATCCACCTTCACCTCCTTGGCCGAGTGGAGCTGAACCGGTTCCGGACCGACCTCACCTTCAAAAGTCGGATCAAACTCGTCTCAGCGAATTTGCAGCTTAGCATTCTGACATCTGACGCCAAACAGCAGGCATACAAGCCCTAACGGTTTCCGATGCGAATCCCTGGCTCCCTGGCCCATGAAAACTGCGATCGGAACGGAAAAGCGAACTTGAGGGTCTCAAGCCTTGAATCTCACCCCTTGGAACGTAAAACAGCAAATACATGCAACATGTTGGAATACCAAACAATGTTTGGGGAGGGACTGGTTTGAATATATAACTCATTCCAACATCTTCCAACCACCAACCAGTTCCTCCCCGGCCCTGTCTCACCCAAAAATGGGACCCCCTGCCCCACATCCTATCCCTGCCACTCTGCAGGAAGGACTCCACAAAGCGACTATTCCCGGAGATAATGCTCCGATCCAATTTCACAGCAGCTTGTGCCGACTCAGAACTGTCGTAGGTGACCACCGCTGCTCCTGAAGAGGTTTCAAATGGAGAACTGAGGTCCAAAGCACTCAGCCCAATGAAGCCAACACATGTCAACTATACAGCTTTTATCACTTGATCGGAGTGGTTTCTATATACATGCCTACTAAACTCGAATACTTGTAAGTGTTGCAATTATTAATGAGATTTGAAGCTTGCTTCGTTCATCTGAACTTTACTCTAGCTGATCATCTTCCAATTCTCACCCCGACGACTTGTCGCCACCCTGGTTGCCCGGCCTTTGCCCCAAAGTTCCACCGTGGCCACCGGCCCAGCCTACAGTGAGAAAGAGCACCAGCGAGAAAACTCTGACTGACTGAGAGTACCAGCTTGGACATCAGGCCATTTGCATCAAGAACTGCTGAGACTGAGAGAACTCTCAACCGAGGATCGCATAGTTCGGCATAGCCCCTTGACTTTCCGTTGAGATGCGGACCTTCATTCCCCCCGCGCCTGTTCAAAATGCGCCTTTATGGCATCTTCGGATGTGCCATAATCAAAGCCGCGGACGAAGACCCTTTCAGACATGGCCTGTCAAGAATTCTGCAGGCGCAACGCAACGTCAAGTCAAGTTTAAGCCTACGATTCTGCTACGAACAAAGGATCCAAGTCATTGCAGAAACTGACATCCTCAGCTGTAGCATGAGGCTGGCTCTGCGTTGCGTCTCATCAACGTCCCAGCGTTCACCAGGGCCGACCTTCTCAAGAACTGCGGTCAGAGTCTAAGGCAGTGAGGGCCTCACCGACTGTGCCGCAGGCTGCGGAATCTTGAGCCGCAACGCTGGCGGTTCCGCATAAAAGCGTTAGGTGATGGGCTCAGCGACAACCAGGTGACACCCACAAAGTCTCACTATTAAAATGATCATAATCCGAGAGATGGAGACAAACCGGGACACAAAACGAGACAACAGCGATCAAAGGTGGTCACCGTCACCTGGTGAATCCTGATGACCCCTCCCAGTGGTTTTTCGGGGAAATGTGTGGGCTTTTACCGGGCCAACATGCCCAAGCTGTGTAAAACATACCTCCTTGTGGTCCTTATGGCTTGTCTTGCGCCTCATCTGCCGGCCCAGTGCGTCAGCTGTATCACTGCATCGTCATGGCTTGTCTTGCAAGCGTCAGCTGTGTCATTGCGCGAGCTTTCAGTTTGCTCCCTTCAGCTGACTCAATGCACTGAAGGTGTTTTTCGTCCAGAAAGATGGCGATTTACTCTTGTGTTGAAGTGTTCCACTCGAACTTCAGCCACATGTTGCAAAAGTGATTCTCTCTTTGATGAATTTGCATGGCTTGGATGATGGATACTGTGATAGTGTGTGACAAATCTCCCATGATTGTAGCCTATCCTGTTGCGCACGCGCTGCTTGGCTGTCACTCCGTGATTCAAGGCACTGCTACGGCTCAAGCCGGACACTTTGGTAATGAATGAACGATTGATCAAACAGTCAGAAGGCTAGCCACAAAGTGCCAGAGAAAGTCGAAATTTGCTCGCTCCGGCCTTCCTCGGTGACTGTTGCTCAAAAAACACCCCATGTTGAGACATTCCTATAGACGGCACAGGCCTATGGCCCTCACCACACTTAAACTGGCGAGCCTTTTTCTCCACTTCTCTTCAATGACCTGTTGGATCAAAGAAGCCCTGAGCTCTATTCAAATTCGACTTCAGACCGCTCATGCCACTGAACCGACTAAGCTCGACACGTCGTGTCTGAACCAACAAATGGAGTAATTACAACCTGAATACAACACAGTGAACCGACGCATAGGGACATTTGATGACATGGTGGGATCCAACACCATTCTTGCAGTGAAGTCTGGAGGCAACTCCTGCACATGATTTTGTACACATGCAAGCTGCGTGTCTGGTGCCCGCACTTGATCGAAAGCCTCTCTCTCTGGAGAAGTTTTCGTGGCATAAATAGGAAATTTTGAGTGCCGTTCGGCAGCTCAAATGATGGATATTGGTATGAAATTAGCGGAGCTGCCCTTGCACTGGTGCGAATTTCAAATGACTCACTGTCAGATTGGGAAGCACGGGCATGACAGGCTAACCGGCTAACCTGGACCCTGGACATAGCCTCTACAACAAGCAACAATGACAGAAAGTTCCTGTTGATGATTTAGTTTGGTATTAAGATGTTTTAAATGAACCTCATAGATTTGCGTAGCTGTTTTGCCACTACGTCATGCCCTCGGCGCATGCCGTGCAGCCTTCCATTTCACACAGTGCACTGTTCGGCCGGGCGGTGTCCGGTGTCGACAATGGCCTCGGGATTGGGCCAATGAATTGGCGGCCAATGATATCCTGCCTGATGGTCGTTGTGGAAGGCTCTGCAAAGTCTGATTTGGCTGTGAGTCATAGCATCTCCCTCACCAAAAACATGGCAGGTTGACACCCCTTAATCTGCGTGTGGCCAGTCGTACATAAGACCCCAACATGCAGCTGAGTCGCTACTTCTTGGTCATCGACTCGGAGCCATCCCAGTCCAGTGGCGGTGGCTCGCGGATGAACTTATCCTTGGAAGGTCTCACATCTCAACAGGGACCGGGCTGGAAAGAACTGTGAAGCATCGGGACATTGGGGCATCTATATGCTGAGGTGACACATTACTAACCCTCACTCTGTTAATCTCTGTCGCGCATTCAGGTACGTGCACATCGTACCTTTTGTATTGGTTCATCTAGCGTCTTCTTGTAAAGAAACTGCAACAACTTTGAGTTGCTCTGCTTTTTCTGATGCCTGCCACTGCCAATTTCGGTCAAGAATCAAACAGAAAATGAGTGGGTGTATCAAATAGAACATACTGTGGTAATAGAACTATTGCAGGACGTGATAAAAACTGCTTAAACAATTCAATAGTTGTCACACAGTTCAACAAGAAGAAATGCAAAGTGTGTCATTGCCAGTGGTCCTCCTTTACTCTAGTTTGTTGACGTGTGTTGTCTAGTTTTGCCTTTGGGATTTGTTGATCTTCTAATTGAAAATTGTTTGGGCAGCCTTCCAGGTTCATTTCAAGAAGAATATGGGTACTCCGGAGTATTCCAATTTCTTCCTAAAAATGTATATTATACAGATCGACTATAGTCCTTTTTATCGAGAGGGACATGACGCCTCCGTTCCAGAGCGCGACTTCCACCAATCCACCAAGAGAGGGTTCCCCCTCGACGTTCCTATACCGAAGAAACAGTTGTAGTTGTCGCTTTTGAAGTAACTGATTGACGGGCATCGAAGTAACTGACACCTCTACCCATAGATGTTTATAGTAGCTTTCAGATGCTTTCAGGGATATCCTGAGGTCGGAAAACAAACAAAGGGGTTGACTTGCATCAAGAAATGACCCGCTTGTAGTTTACAAACGCGTTACTATCTACCAATGAAAAACATCCCCCTAGCCAATATATATTGGCTTCGGCCTCGCAAAAGCAACATAGCCTCGAAGCCTTTGCATTGGACGGCGCAGCCTGCTAGTATTCACCATTGGACGTGTGAGCTAGTGCTGTGTTTTTGTAAAAAATCAGATTTTGTGGTAGGCCAGGAAAAGGAATATGTGCAGATTTCGTGGTGAGCGGCTCCCCCCAATAGCACACACAGCACCAAGTAACGCAAGGAAAGTACAAAACCCACAGAAGCAACCAAAGCCAAGAACAGAACAACAGTTGTGGGAAAAGCATAGAACGCCGAAGCAAAAGAACAAGCCAGACTCAAGGCTTGAAAAGCCGGACCGCATCAAATGTCATAATTAGAAAGCAAACGTAAAAGGGCGAAAGAAATCACAGAGAAGCAATGAAAAGGAATTGAAAAGCAATGAAAATGAAAAGCAAGAAACACAACCAGAAGCAGGAAGGCAAAATAAGCAAAACAAACCCCTAAAAAATCCAAACCCAAAAGAATAGCCCTCCTTGAGTCAGGAAAGAAAAATGGCCCCAGCTGCGTCGTCGTCATGCTATATCAGGCCACATTGCTTCAAAGTGGATTCAGACTCGTCATTCACCAAACACTGATCAGTCACTCCCGCATAAAACAGTCCAGAGATCACATAGATCAAGCAAATGTTTTGAAGGAATATCATCGGCTTTGTCATCATCAACGCTGCTTGAGCGCCCACGGAGGCTGCGGCAGACCTAGCAGGCGCTAGAAATGCGCCTCCAAATGTTGTTTGTGAGTTTGTTGGTTTGAGGAGCAGCTAGGGAGCTTGAAATCAACCTTGGTCCTGGCATGACCTACGCCAAGACTGCCCATTTGCATTGCCATTTCGGTGAGTAGAATAGAACTTCCAAATGCCAAGAATCATTGGGACAAACGAACCAAAGAAAGCTGCTACTGCTAAGCCGTGTCAATATTATTTGAAAGGGCTACGGACTGGACTACAAAAAGATACTGTTGCAAAGCCTTCCCAACTCCCAACCTCAGCCAGCAACGGCCGTGCTTCACCAAAACGTCTGTCCATAAAGAGCTCGAAAGCCCGCCTGGGCCACTTTTTCTTTTTTCGATCGTAGAATGGGCCCTGACTACAAGCTGCTCGTTTGAATGCTAGAGGTTCTCAAGTAGAAAGCAACTCACTGATAGGAGATCGGATAGGTGGGCAGTGACCTGTGAAAAAATGTGTGTGTGAATGCAGTGACGAAAGTCAGAGAGACGTGTTTGATTGTGTTTGCGGTCCCTTCTACGCTGTAATTGAACATCCATGCCTGCTGCATCTCCGTTGTTCGACGTGTTAGGCTTGATTCCCAGCCAACAGAACACACATTAGACGATTCTTGCAAGTCACGACTTTCACTTTGGCCAGTTCGGCACGGAACGTTCGTTCCATTGCGGTGAATTCCATTGAATTCCTCCCTCCACTCCAAGCCTCGCCTGTGAGCGTCGTAGGTTTTCGCCAAGGTCTGTTGTGCTGCGCATCGCCGGGCACACACCTCCCAGACCTGGCCAGCCAGACGAGCGTTGCTGTGAGAGTGAGAACGATGGAGCGCAACTTCGAACCGCAACTCGCAGATTGGCGATTGTGGATGATTGTGGCCCCCCATGCTGCTCGTGCTAATCTGGTCCACAAAGCTCCTGCCTTGGTGGGCGATTTGCGGCCCTTGAGCACCAGATTGCCCACAGGTCTGGCCACATAGCTCTTGTGCAGATCATCTGCCTCCACATCGATCAAAGGATTTGGAAGATTGGAAAAGCTCGATATATATATATATATGTGTGTGTGTACTTCTCACTTATCACTCACACTGCTCAGATAAAAAAAATAGAATTGTTATCCGGGCTTGGGCCTCTCAAGCTGATGCTTCCATGTTTTCATGTGTTTTCCAAGGAGCTCCCGCACCACTCAGTCTATTTTACGCAGTTTTGCATCATGCAGGAATCGAATAATTAGGCACGAAGAATTCACGTTTGCACTGCCCTGGCCTCTTCTAAACTTTCATCCGACACAAGGCAGCAAGTGCGGAAGTGGGAGTTCAAACTCTTGAGGCGCGCTGCAACATTGACACTGTCCCCCAGGACGCCATACCTCATGGCATAAGGCGAGGCACATGCAGAAGGTTTTTTGCACAGCGACTCCTGGACTCCAGATGATTTCAATCTATGAAGGAGTGCTTTGAACGACCCGCTTTGATGCCCACAACTGTGGGTCTGAAAACTGAGCAGCTCGAGCAACATGAAATAGCCACACACACACACAAGAACCATATGACAGCAATTGTCCCATGTGTTTGTTGCTTATGTCCACGAATTCATCAGCCAAGCTACTTGATCCTCGTTTGAGACCCGATATTGCCGACTAGGACCTTTCCAGAATGTACCCCACATCGCATCCGGACGCCCAGCCGGCCAGCCCGCTCCAGGACGTCCTTAGGATCAGTAACATCTGAAAGTTGGGACCTCTTTTGGGACAAACACGGTCATTCCAAAAGGACTCCGAATAGAAAGTGTCAAAAAAAAGATTCACTGCATGTGTTCCTTCTGCATCTGAACATCAGTTGACACATCCGCATACATTGCTCCCTCACACCACCTCACACCTCTAACTGCCTCCAACTCTTACAGAGACGGCAACATACGGCAACCATATGGTCTATTCAAGCGCAACATGCGCAATCTTTGTCGAACCAAAAGTCCGTGGCCGACGCCACTGCATGCTCTTCGTGGTCATCCACCTCATTCGGAGCATTGAACACCGCCAGCACCTGGCTACGCTGCGAAGATCTATAGTACAAATGTGGGTCCGGTCCGGCTCCAAAAACACGGAGAGGAAAAACACTTATCATTTTTGGGCATACTCAGACAGCAATGCAATCGGCAGTAACCCAAAACCAGACAAATCTGCCTCGTCCCCCACGAACTCCAGCAGCGTGCCGGCTTGAGCTTCGATGGCGTTGGACACCTGAAATCGTGCAAAGGTAAAGCGGCTAAAGCCATCAGCCGCACTATTGAAGAGCCATCGCTATTCGGTAACAGGCTGAACCGTGATACTACTGTAATGCTTTGAGGAGCAACAAGTTGTGGGGGCCCTTGGACTTGGTCCCATGTCCATGTTTGAACTGCTATCACTCTGCCCCGGTCTTATTCCGAAAACTACAGTATCTTGAGATGCCAGTCGAACTGCACAAATCCCCAACCCCCCACCGACTCCAGCCTCTCCATGAACCAAACTGAGAATCGCCAAGACTTCTTTGGGTGTGCTCTCGCGGCACATTTCCTTGAAGCGATCAATGTCACCTGCAGTTGACAGTTGACATTGCCAGCGCCAACTGTCTTACTGGAAAGACGCATAGCTAGGGCAGATGGATCTCAACTTCCACAAGGTGTGTAGAATACACGGGCAATGCCAAAGCAATGTTTATCTGGTCAATTTCACGTGTGAGCTCCAACGCATCGGCTGCATGCCAAGGAGCAAAAAAAGATACTGACTTCATTTGGGTTCAAGCCGACCCTTGCCTCCAATGCATGCGAGATGGGAAATGAATTACGTTCGAAGAAGTCCATTTTGTTGCAGCTTCTTGTTACTACTAGTAAGGCACTTGTTACTACTAGCGATGCACCTGTTACTAATAGCGTTCTTGCTACTAATGAAGTGACAAGCTTCAGCCTTTCAGCCCCTGCCTCAATACCATGTCTGTACCTGCAGTTTCAGTCCAAATGTGGAAGGCCACCCGTGCGCGTGCACACACCCAAAATGGCCTTTGCAAACGATGTACTATAATTAGAGCTCCTCACTTTCCGCGCATCAAGGGCCTGCAAAACCTGTAGTGATGTGATACGAAACAGATACGCCTGTTCTAGGCTGATGTGTTGCTCTATCGGTGCTTGACTTAGCTGAAGCTTCGTTGCACTCGCAGATTGGCATTTTCACAGCACATCATCCAGCAAAACTAGGACTCTTAAAGCTGAGAAGATATATATATATACAGTAAACGAAATATACTACGAAATATGTATACATAGAATTGACACATAATTATACTTTAAGCCAAGCTTTTTGTCTATGCAGGTGCCAAATGCCGGGTGCGGGATGCCGGATGCCCTGAGTCCAAGCCTGAAGAAACCCGAAAGAAGTGAAACCCTCGGCAGGCCAACGAAGCCGCGGGCCGAAATTGGTTTCTGGACGGGACAGGATGCCAAAGACCGGGCGAATACTGGGTGCCGGATGCCGGTGCCGGAATTTACAAAACAAAAAGAAAACACAAATTGTGCGTCAATTCCTTGAAGTCCAATGTTGGTGGAAACATCCTATAACCTCCAGCTGTTTGCGAACAGCGCGTAGACACAAACAACTGCATCACTGTTGTATCCATAGTCGCCCACAGCACACAAAAAAAGAAACATGGCCAAGCAGGGCTTATCAGGCCCGGACAGGGCGTTGATAAGAGGGCCGGACAGGGCGTTGGACAAGCAGGACAAACAAACCTGGACAAGGCCTGAAGCAGGGCCCACGGCACGGCCAAGCCGAACACACAGACCCTGAGAAGGACTGGACCAGCCCCGCCCACAGCGTGCTAAGCAAGACACACAAACACAAGGCCCAGGCAAAGCTGTGAAGAAAGGCCAGCCCATTTTTGTCCTAAGAGAGAACGCCAACGGTATATAATTTGTTGGGGCAACATGGGGCAACTATATTGAATATATTGAATGTAATTAATTACGACTAAGCCGCTACATGAGCTAGGCTATGGCTGTCCATCTGCCCATGCACAGACTCGCCCAGTGTTTGATGCACGGACTCGCCCAGTGAGTTTGACACATTTGACATGAACTCCTCTTCCATCCTGGAGACACATCTGTGCATTGTGCGTTAAGTTGAGAAAAACATTGTAAAATATTGTAAAATTGCAATAAGTTCAGGCGTCTTATGGCATTTTTGTGGTTGGGCCCCTTGTGTTGGCGGTGGTCAGAGGTTGATCCTTTTCTTGAACCCTTGGAAAGAATCGTGGCATCATGTGAGTCAAAGGCAGAAGCCCTCTCGATGCATCCAATGAGGTTGACGAACCAAGGCCGCAACAAATCAATAGTCAAGACGAGCCACAAGGATTTCAGCAAGTATGGCGGCACATATTTGGCCCAATTCCGCAATGCTGCGCGCATGGTGGAGAGCGACACTCGCAAGTCCTGACAACTCTGAGTTTGTGCCGGTTGAAACGGAACACGCGACTCCACCAGCTGTGCATTAATACCCTTGGATGTCCCAACGGAAGCACTGTGCCACTCCCGCAGAGTCATCACTTTTGTCCAAGTTTCTGCTAATTCCTTCACATCGTCCTCCTTCCTCGGTGCATGTGACGAGAGTTCCGAGCGGTGCACATCAACGGTGCACATGTGCCACCCGTCACCCGTCCAGTGGACCTTGAAGAGAACCAAGACACTTGCTCTCGCTGCACCAGCTACTGGAGCGTCCTGCGTATCGCAGCAGTCTTCGGCAAGTGCTTCGCTTCTTCCCGCCCTGCTGCAAATCCTGAGGCGCAGGGCACCAGACCGCTCTACACCTTTCATCACCTTTCTACTCCGCTCCTGCCCACCCCAAAAAAGTCGCGCGGCGGAGGGTTCAAGACATGTCAAGAGTTTCAGGATCCCAGGGCACCAGCCTTCAGCATATTGCTCGCTGGCTGAAAGTTGGTCATTCGCACCGCTTCCAGCGATCGCAGCGAGGCCATGTCATCTAGGATGTTCCACAAAGGATGCAACATTCGAGTATTCACCTTGACGGGATTCTATTGGTCGTCTCAAACACGAGACAAAAATGGCCTAGCAAACTGGCTTGGCATTGGGCCTTGTTCAGCGCATGCATGAAGGCCAGCGCAAAAATCACCATCAACACAACGACAATCAATGTGTACACCTCAGAAGAAACCGCATGGTTGAGGGTGTAATGCTATTCGAACGCGTTTAGGATGCGCGCAGTGCAAGGGCAACATGCAACACCTCTACCAAAGGCAACAAGTACTTGCAAACCAATGCAACTACAAGACGTGATACAAGGAATCCTGGAGTGCAGCTAGCCACAAAATTATTCCGGCTTCGTGTCCCCAATCGTTTGTGTTAGCCGCTAGCCACCTTGACCTCTTAGCATCTGGCCAGGTCAGCTTCGGCATTCCGTCGAACTGACACGTAAGTGTCCATCAAACTGACACTTGTTGGACTACCTGGCCGGCCGCTCGCATGAGACAAGTGTGTCTGTGTCAGGTGTGTCAAGGTTTGTCGCGTTGAGTCTCGCATGACAAAAGCGCTTTAGCCCACTAAACTACATTCAACTTGCCTAGGCCTATTCTGCAAAAACCTTTCAATAGAGGACAGTGTGCGCGTCCCTATCTGGCCACCCCCTTATGTGTGGAATCATGACCCTGTGCTTCGCCAACCTGTGCAGTCCTCATTGGGATAACATACCTCAGATCAGGCGGAGGGCCTTAATCTTATGGGTGAAACATGCTCACATTGCCTGTGTCAAATTGTCATCTTGGCCAAAGAATCGAAGACTTTGTCGTCGATCGATCTTCTACGACTCCGTCATGATAGCAGTGCTTGAGCTCAGGTGGGATCACAAACTGATATATACGCCATCTTGGTGGAAAAAGAATCCAATATCTTCCAGAATTGACCCAGGCCGTCACAGCCCAGTGACTAATTGAAGCTCATGCGGTTGCTTGGGATCTGCGTCCATCGCCAGTTGCGCAGAAGGAAGCCAAGGCTGGGGGGTGGAGCACTCGCATGAGCTTGGAGTCCAGTACCTCACCCAGTGAAAGTCCACAGAGGTCATGTCAGGTCATGCAGAGGTGGGATGATGATGTATGCACCGGATATGATGGAACACAACAGCTTTCCCAGCCACAAGCAACCAAAGTGAACAAAACCTGGCCAAGCAACTTCTAACCTTGCATGGGCCGAGCAAACCCATTTGCCTGCCGAGGCCATTTTCCTATCCTTCGCTCGGCTAGAAACGTAACGGACAATTATTCTTGCCACGTCACACATGGTGGATGCCCACCAATTTTACCACATGGGGGAGCGATGCCACCACAAAGTCCTCCACATTAGCACAAAGTGCAGCACATGACCTTGGTGTTGGAGAAGTGGATGTAGAGACAAGGGCCAAATGTTTGGCGTTTTGGGCGTTTTCTGCGGGCCCACGATCATCAACCCGCAGGACCAAACCCAACGGACAATCTCCCTTGGAAAGACAACAGTCATTACGGTCAGAATTATAAATACTATCATCTTCCTGCTGGGTGCTTGTTTAGTGGGATGGCTCTGAGACAAGATCGTCCCCGCAGTGTGCTGAGAATGTCCAAAGTGAGGCCGACAAAATTTGAAAGAGTGAAAGGTCACTCCACTATCCATTTGTAATGTACCACCAAGCTCAAGCAACAAAGGTGGCAAAGTTCTGTCAGGAAGCCTGCTTTGTGTCATGGATGATGCCAAGTGATCCAAGTGCGCAAGGTGTTGATAGTCTCCATGGTCCTTGACTCTTTACTAGAGGACAGCGGCCGACTTATCTACAGTAGATACAAGTATGGAGAGGTGGGCAATAACAAGAATGAGCACAGTACTGCACGAAAGCTAAAAATGTGCGCACATGTAAAACCACATCAAACGGATTCAAACGGCGCTACCTCATGCACTGTCATTCGACCGGTCCTCCCAAGAAGCATCCAAGAGGATCACCACGCCCATGACCCCGAGGACAATGAGACAAACCTTCACAACCACAGGCCCACTCACCTGCGTCAGAGGGACAAAGAAAAAATATGGTAAGAGCCCCAAATATGATGGAACAATCTTCCATTAACAGGATTCAACAGTGCCACTGTCATCTACTTCAAACTGTTCCCTTCACAGCCTTAACACCTGCTGTACCTATTCCCTGACGCAAGCTTCCTCCGAGTCCTGGCGCCTTCTGCACCAAGGAAAAGGATGCCTTGACCCGCTGTACATCTTCTTGACACTTCTGCAAGGCTCGCTTGCCTTCTGGCCTGCGACCGTGGCCAACACTCGAGTAACCATCAAGTGATCATCCAATCCATCTGGATTTGAAGGTCCCTCCTCCTGGGTGGAAGAAAGCATGGGGGTTGGAGCAGAATTAGGACCAAACTCAGGTGACTAATTAGGTGTCTTTGAGGCCTCTTTCTTTGGTTGCCAGTCAACTCTCTTGGCCGGAAAAGTGGCGCATCCCCGGATAAAAGCACACTGTGCGGGCGATCAGTTCACCGCCAACTCCGCCTCACCGCAAACTCATCAATCAGAGATGCAAAGGTGCCATCACAGTTCGTCTTGGGATGCAGGTCCCAGGAAGGTGCGAATGTAGACCTAGCAGGTGCCAACTGGGTGCTCGACTCGCCGAGAACGCTCACATTTTTTGCTCACCAGGTGGCAATCGTGTGAGGGCTGCAGGCTTCAAGCTCATCATAGTGCCATACCTAATGCAAGAGTAAAAAAGAAAAGGGCAAATGAGCCCCTTCAGGATTGTTGGGTTCACTACTTCGTCCACCTACCACGGGCAGCATCTCAGAGGTGTTGACACTCAAGTCTCCATCACCCTATGCTTCACTGGTGTGCACTTGAGGGGCTGCCGGTTGGCAAAGGCAGAGGACGCGGTGACATTGGAACGGAAGACTTTGGACTTCGACATGCCAACCTGACGGAAGACACTGTTGGTCTCCCGCGCCGCTCCGTCGGTCAAATGTCCAGAAAAAAAAAGATGGAACCCACGAACCCGAATGCAAACGCGTTCGAAAAATTAATATGTCCAAATGACACTCTTGTAGGACACTCTTGTGGGACTTTCTTCTAGGACACTCTTGTAGGACACTCTTGTAGGACACTCTTGTAGGACACTCTTGT